CCCTTCTGCCCAGGCACTCTTGGAAAAAAAATACACAATTCTTGTAAAGCTTGAATTCTATTCCGGAGGATTGCTGAGATTATTTTTTGGCCAGCAGCAATCTCTGGGGGTTTGGCAGAGTTCAGAACTGGCATTATTTTGCAGCCAGGTCCATCAGCTTTGATTAAGAGCTGAGGGAGCCACCTTGGTGCCCGATTGCAGCACGCTCTGCTGAACCCAGCCAGGTGGGAAGCAAACACTGCTGGGCTCCTCACCCCGCTGCTCTTTCAGGCTTAATTGTTGAGCAAAGCCCCTCTCATTTTCTGATAAGAATCTGCAAAAACATTGCACAATGTCCTCTTCCTCCCAGCTCCAGGGCAGCAGCAGGGATGAAGGGGCAGGTTTTGTGTAATGCCCCTCACACCAGCCAAGGGACTGGGTCAGGTGGAGCTGTGTAAAAGCTAGAGGGAGGAGGAGAGGACAGAAAAGCAAACCACTGTCATTTTGATCTTCATAGCTGAAGATCAGATCCCACCTAAAGCTCTGGATATGCAAAATAAAAACTTGTGGGGTTTTTTTATTGCTCCTCGTGGCTGTTACACCGAACATGGATCCAACTGAGATGTTTTTTCCAGTTTGGAATTATGCATAACACAGCATAGTGTGCACAGTGCTGATTCCATACAATTCTTATGTACTGGCTGTTCTCAGAGTTTGTAACCACCGTGGTTGTTCCTTGCAGTGGGGTATTTTATGTACTTCCATAGAGAATTCACTCAGGTGTTGAGTGTATTTTATCAAAAGATAAATGTTGCTTTTGTGGTTGGATTTTCCTAAGGTTTACAGGAAAAGGAAATTACCCAGGTTATTCTTTCTCCTCCAAGGGTTGTTTTACTTTTTTTAAAGGGCTAAAGATTAGTATTAGCCTTCTGTAATAAGCAGTAGTTTATTTGTTGTTCAGAGGAGTTATTGTAAAAGCAGCATTTACAAAGCAGCTATTGCCAGGACCTGGATAGAGATCTCTAACCATGAGGAGCTAAAGGCCTCTCATGGTAGCTGGCATAATTCAAGAGAGAAAAGAGATGTAGCTTCATTCTGTGACAGGCTGTAGTAATTGATGAGTGGTAGAAGCAGATGTTGATGAACAGGTTAAGTCTCATTCCATGTGTGTACTTAAAAAAAGGCAACAAGAGACCTTATCCCTGAAATGAGGCTTGTGTTTCAGGAGTGGATGTCAGTATGAACACGCATCTGAAAGCAGTGAAAATGACACTGAAGAACAGAGAGCCCGTACAGCTGGAGACACTGAGTATTCGAGGGAACAACATCCGCTACTTCATTCTGCCAGACAGTTTGCCTCTGGATACTTTGCTAGTGGATGTTGAACCAAAAGTCAAATCCAAGAAAAGAGAAGCAGGTGAGTTTGTGCTTTCCTAGTCTGTGTTTGTTCTGCCTTTGTGTGCATTTTAGTGCTGTGAGTCTGAAGGTGTCTGATTTGAGTCTGTCAACGTCTGCATTCCTTCATCACTGAGGGTTTGACATGGCACTGGCTCAGTCTGCCTTGCCCAGCTCCTTGGCATCTGCAGAGCTTCATTCGCATGAAGTTGTGTTACGGCTTTTCATGCATCTATTTTTTAAAATGTAAATGTTTATCAGCTTGAGTAAGTCTTAACCTGAGTCTTACAGTTGGCACCCAAAGAGATTTACATTTCCTCTTCTCCAGGTGTCTGTGTTTTCTCAGTTTGTACGGGGAGCTTCACACAGATAATAAGTGCAGAACTGTATTTCAAATGGTGTTGAGTGGTTCACTGAAATTTGGTGGGGGATAAAAATGGTATCTATGGATTTGAGAGACTTGAGAACCTGAGGGAATCGAGGCTGTATTCCAGTGAGCACATCTCCAGCTTTGGCTCCCAGTAGTGTTCCAGTCTCAGCTCTTCTGCTCTTGCTGGAACATTTTTTTTCAAAGTGCTGCTGAATAAAAATCCTTTTTCTTAGAAGCCTGACAGTATAGACTGTAACTCATGTTTAATCCACACTACTGAAGATGAGTCTCTAGTAAACCCCAGGAAATCAGCAGCAGTATATATTTTGCCCAGCAGTTAATCTGTGTGTTTTAAAAACAGTGAGCTGTAAGTGAAAGCTAATTGTGCTCTAAAGTCATGTTGTGCCATTTCTCCTGTAATTAGTGTTGAAGTATGTGGGCGTGCAGGGTGTTCTGCATTGGTGCAGAACCTCAGCTGTGCAGCACTGAGTGTGAGCGCTGCAGCTGCTGCCTTGATAGGAAATAATGATAAAGCTCCCAGAGGGGCTTTGCTCCTCTCAGGTTCATTAAAAACAATCTGACCACACAGAGAAAGGAGCGTGGTTGCATTGCTTTTTTGCTGAATCTCACGTCGTGGTGTGAACGAGAGCATCCCTACTTGGTGTCAGCTTTGGGGAAAGCAGTCCTGATAGCTCCAGTTACCTCCATTTGATGCTCCCTGTATCCCCAGTGTGCGGAAGCACTCTCAGACCAAAGCTGTGCTGTGCTTTGCCTTAATCCATAAATGCCTTTGGGCTTCCGAAGTGTAAAACCCTTGATTCTGTCCTTAGCAAGTGGTCAGGAAAGGGCAGGACACTGGCTGGGGTGTGAGTGCCACATGTGCCTTGGGTCCAAGCATGCTGGCACTTGGTGAGCACAGCTACCTGCTGATGCTGTCATACTCCAGCTGGGGTGATGCTTCCAAGGATTTTACAGGGTCAGTGTATTACCAGCAATATAATGACACCTTGCTTAAGTCAAATTTGTCCTGTGTCTCTGCTCCTTCTGTCTTCTTGGAATTTCTAACCTACATCCCAGAGTAATTGTCAGAGCCCGCTCCTTGAGTGCAGGTGCCAGCAGGTGTCTCTTAGAGAGCTGCCCACTTCCGCAGAGTTTTCAGTATCTTTTTGAGCCCTGCACTCACAAACGTGTTAGAAATGAAACAATAATCTGAAGTTTGCAGAGTGTCCTTGCAGTCTGGTGAGTCACATTTCTTTGGGATAGAGAGATGCAAAGGCACATTGTCACCTTATGGATCGTATGACATTCAGGAGTTGCTTGTGGCCTGCACTGTCCTATATTCTGTCTTCCCTTTACAATTAAATAGCAGTAATTAAAACTGGGAGCACACAGTCAGGACCTTTGCCTTAGAATCACATCTGCAATTGGCAGAGGCATCACTGAGACCAGTAGGAGCTGTTGGATGCTGGGATCCTTTCAAAATGCTGACCTTCCACGTGGTGCCTGAGACAGGATGGGTTTGGGAATCTCACAGCATAAAAAATTAGACTGGATATATATATAGAAAAAAAAAGGAATCCTGGTTTCCTGTCAGATTACCCAGTCATTTGGGAGCAGCCAACTATTTTATGCCCTTGTTTTCTGCAGTGAAGCCAAGGACAGACAGTAGTCTGTGGAAGTTGTATACTGGAAGAACTAACACAAAAGATGAAAATATTGCCTGAAACTTACTGAGCATTAACAGACTTAATACCTAACGTAATGTCACATGTAAAACCACAGGGAAGCAGTGTGGTGGTTATGCTCAATGCAGAATGTTTTAATCAAAAAGAAAGTATTCCTTGGTCTCATTTTATTTTGTCTTTTTCTTTTACCTGCCAAGTTGCTGGAAGAGGCCGTGGAAGAGGCCGTGGCAGAGGCCGAGGTCGTGGAAGAGGAAGAGGAGGCCCAAGACGATAACTTGTCATCATATTCTGGGCAATTTCTGGGCAATTCTGGGCAACTACCATATTCTAGTCAATTTCAGGTTTATTTTGTACAGGTCTTGTTTATGGTATCCGTTTTTAATAAACTGAAATGTGAAAAGGTGTCTTTCCTTTGTTAGCAAAGCCTGGGGAGGGAGGCAGGTGTGCCCCGTTTCTAGGGCTGTTGCAGACTACACAGATCTTGGTTGTCACTGTCGAGACTTTGCCCACCCCTGGGGGTTGTACAACTCCTCGTGCTTTTTGCCCCAGAACGAGAGACTTGTGTTGTGCTTTAACAGCGTGTGAAATTAATCCCTCTTTTCTAAGGCACTTGCCATCTTCTAATGGTTCCATAGTTAAGACACTGTATTAAGAACCCCTGTCCTGTGAGTGTCTCTAATACTGTTCTTCAGAGCAACCTTTTCTAAAGTTCATAGATATAATTTTAATGTTTTTTATTACATGAAGCTTGCAATTTAAACATGTTGCTTTCTTTATAAAACATTTACATAGGGAAATTAACCAGGTCCATGAAACTGCTGGATTGTTACATCTGATGATTAAAGAATACCTGGATATGAACTTTGTCAAAGCTAATTATATGGCATACTGTCGTTTGGGTGGGGCTTGTAAAGCAGCTTTATCACAGATATCTTCTAGTGTACTTAAAGTACATCCCTAGAAAATACAAAGTACAGCACAGTGTACAGTTGCATGCTGGAATTGGAAGCTTACTTCTGGAGGTGGCAGAACTTGTGCAGCTCACACATATGTGTGCATATATATAGATATATATACATATATAAATATATAAATATATATATTCACTGCTTTGCTGGACACAAGTATAAAAGAAGCAGTGTTGGCCACATTTATCTCCCAGTGCCATCCTGCTGATTCCTCCCATGTAGGAAAGCAATGTCACATTATTCTCATTGCCAGACTTCCAACAGTTTCACCTGTTTATGAAATACATGTCATTTCAAACAGTGAGTATGCCTAAGTGTCTTGAATGGCTTGTGGGCATTTGCTGGTAAATTGGTGCAGGAACATGCTTGGTTAGTCATGTTTCCACACAGGCAGTGCTACAACAGTGGGAAAGAATCACCTAATGTGTAATGGGCTGATGTGCTGGTTAATTTGTGCTAGCTGGCATTTTGTGAGCTGCTCTTCTCACCTCTTACAGAGGCCACTTTAAAGCTTTATCTTGTTACAGAAGAGCTTTTTTTTTTCCCCAAACCGTTGTGGAACCTCCCAAGAGCACTTTTTGGTCAATATAGCACCCACCATTCTCAACTCTATAAGTAGCTGCTACAAATAATGGTTGCTGCTGTCTTCCAGAAGTGCCCAGTCACTGGTGACGGGGGTAAGGTCTTCCCAAATCCAGCTGTCAGCTTTCATGCAACAGTTGAAACTCGTTCCCTCTTCATTCTCTTCCTTATAAAAGTCATTAGTGCTCCCAGGGGTATGCACATGGTGGATGAGGCCACCAGCAGCCCGATCACCGCCAGGGCATAGCCTGGGTAATCCTTGGTCACCAGCTGCCCCTGCAAGGGAGAAAAGCAGTGTTGGATCTGTGGGATCTGTCCCAGAGTCGGGCCAGGAGCAAAGCTGTGTGTATGGATCTAAGCAGGACCTCTAAGAAGCATTTTCAGTCTGTGGCAGCCCACAGCTGCCCTCGGTGTTCTCTGTCCAACCACATACACTGAAAACTGACAAGAACAGAGCTGCTGACAACAGGATTGGGGGAAACTTCTGCAAGCTTTGGTAAAGAGCAGATTTTGGCTTGATTTGTGTTTCTTAATGAGGTGGCTGGGCCCTGACCTCTGTCAGGGCTCTGTTCCTCTCCTGGAGCCTGTGGGCTCATGCTGACACCCAGTCAACAGGCTAGGCTTGCCTGGAGTCCTAAATTGGCCATGACATGAAAACAATTATGTGCTTTGTTCCTGCATGATGGAAACATTTCCACAAAACGTTACGAAACCAGTGATTACTTATCCATTAGTAATTGCTCTGTGATAAAAGCACAGTCCAGTATTCTTAAGAAAGTGTTCTGTCCATGAAGAAAAATGTATATGGAAATTATGAAAACTATTTATTCCAGCAGCTTAAAGTACCACTAATTTTGTTCAAAGTAAATACACTTTAAAAGTAGAGGGTTTTAAGTGTGTTTTTAAAGATGATATTTGGATCTTCAATATGAATGAAATTCTGTGAAGGGTTGATTAAGAATCACAGAGGGAAATTAGTTGATTTTACAGAATCATTGCATCATCACTAAGTCAAGTTTTCCCTGGTTTTCCTTTTCACAAAATTAAGGGATGGCGCTGACTCCAGCTCCTCACTTCCAGAAGGCCATTTTGTGGAACAGTGTAGTTAGGAAAGAAGCTTGTATTATGGCAGGAACTAAGGAAGGTTTAAAACAGAAAAAAAGCCCAAACCCAAAACTCTTTTACCTGTGTGGCATCCCATGCTTGGTATTGCAATGTTCCTGTGAGGATATAGTCGGTGAGGTAAAAAATAAATAGGCTTATAATAAGCAGTGGACTAACAAAAGCCCACATAATTTTCCAATACCAGTTTGGCTTGCTTCCCATCATGGTGTAAAGGTCTTTCTCAAATCTGTTCAAAAGAAAACCAAACATTTTTGTGAAGAGAACCAAACGTGTATTTTTGAGACCGGCTACAGATACTCAATGAATACCTTGTTCTGAGTTACTTCAAAAACCACCTACAGAATCAAGTATGTCAGAGGAGAAAGAGGAGTACAGTTGACCACAAATGAGCAGAGAATTGTTGTCTGAAAAGCTGGCTCACCAGAATCACGGTGAGGGGGAAATCGACAAAGACAGTGAGGCTTCCAAGAGAATCCCAAACTGCAGAGAGTGGCCAGAAATAGGTACAGTAAGAGAGTTCTGCCTGAAGCATAAGCTCAGGCTGTTACTGGTGTCAGCTGACAGAGAGAAGGAATGATGCTGAAGTACTGTGGAGAAAACAGCTGGGTTTGTGTAGCTGAGTGTTCTCAGTGCTGTTACCTGACTGTCTTTGAGGAACACTGACACTGGGAATGGTACCTAAAATCTCACAGGAGACCTGGATCTAACTCAAAGGCTTTGAACTCATCAGGGAGAAAATACCCACATAGGTGCCTGGACACCCTCTGTGCTGGCAGACTAACAAAGCAAATGCTGAAGCCTTTCCTTTCAGCTATTTTCAAATGTATTTGCTGTTCAAAACTTCTGATTCCAGAGCTCCCTTTTACCCACAAGGATTGACTTGAGAGACAAACAATGTGCGACAAGGTCCCAGAGGGGGTCTGCAGGGCAGGGGAGAGCCTTGCCCTTGCTGATCCTGTAGCACAGGAGAAACATTTTTCCCAAGGCAATATTTTTATTCCTGGCCTGTGGCTGCTCTCCCAGCTGTCACACTGTGAAGGAAGCAGGGCTCCATCTTTTACCTCCTTATCCCATAGATGTAACACACAGCGATGGTTTCCACCAGCACGATGAGCAGCAGCGAGAGGGTGGCTGCGTAGTCGTTGAAGATGTCAAACCAGTAATTTCCAGCCTCCATGGTGAAGATCAGGCCAATTATACAATTCACGAAACACACAACACCTGTGTGGATAAAACAGTGATCCTGCCATTACACCTGGAAGTTTGTGTAGGGAAAATGTCACACTTCTTGTAACTAACAAGCTGGTGGGATTTCTGCTGAGCAGCTCTCTCTGAGGAGAAGGATTTTCTTTCCCCCTGTGGAAAAGACCTGCCCCTTTGCATGTGTGACTGTCATTAAACTGCTGCTCCTTAGACCTGCACAGTCACAGCACATCACCCCAGACATGGCCAAGACAATCAAGTCTTAGCTACAGCCTCGTCACACACACATGCAGCATCTGCTGTTGCCGCTGGGCATCCAGCTAAACTGATTTCCATGCCCAGACAGGAGCACGTATTTCTTTTGACCAGTGCTTGAGGTGGTTCATAGTTGGGATACTGGCGATGTGACTGAACAGCTACTTGCTGCAACTACGCTGCCATTTGTGCCCTCCCTTTGAGCTTCACCAGTCAGGAGACACGAGCCTGAAGGAGCTGGGGTGTGTCGGGAAGCCTGGAAATACACAGCCACGACTGCCCTGGTGCTTTGGGAGCTCCCAAGGGAAAGGGCTGCACAGCATGGGCAGGATTTCACAAGGGCAGGCACACCCTTCCAGCAGCATGTTTGCTATTCCCTGCTCCACCCGAGGGCAGAGAGTGGAGTGGCACTTCACTCAACAGCAGTGGACACCACAGCTTCTGCACACACACCCCCCGTGCTCACCGTGCGGCCTGGCTGCAGCCTGGCAGGTGCTTACCCGAGATCACCTCCTTGGGAAAGCGGGAGGCAATGACCCTGCTGTCGGTCAGTGGTGTGAGGATGGCAGCCGTGTTCCCCAGCATGCTGCCAATGCCCAGCATCAGCAGCATAAAGAAGTAGAGCACAGAGTACAGCTGGGGCACCTCCATGTTTTTGATCGCTTCCGAATAGACTATAAATGCCAGTCCCGTCCCCTGGACAGCCTGATGGAGACAAGGGGACAAAACTGAGTTGCAGGCAGTTCCTCAGCTCAGTAAAGGACATAAGACAAAAGAGAGTGACTCTGTGTCATGACAATGTACACCTGAGGTGTGGTTTTGCACAGCAGAGGTGGGTGAGATCTTCACTGGTTTATTCCAATTGCATGGACACTGGATGCTAATGGCCCGAGCGGGCCCCTGCCCCATCCTGAGGTGTAGAAATGACCCCCAGCCCTGGCCAGACAGCTCCTGGGCTCACTTGGAGTGCCTGGGCTCAATGGGAGCAAAGGAGACACCACAAAGTGGCAACTCACCGTGTCTAGCTCAGCTTCCAAGCTGCAGTTTTTAATCTGTGGTGCTAATTGGGCATATTCCTGCGGGTAGGTGGCCATGAGGTAATCTTTCATCTCATTGAGGTTGTCTGCTGTTAAAGAGCCTTCCTCCAGGTCAAAAGCATTCAGCAGCAGCAGGATCACCCTGGGAAGGATTACAGGAATTTAATGGCTTTCAGGCCCAGGGCACCTCATCCCTTTTCCCCATCAGCCCCTGGGGATGCTTTGCTGCTCCCAAGTCTTCAGTGTCCCTGGGTGAGAGCAACACTTCCAGCACGGTGTTGGGACATGGCAACCTTGTGCTCATTTGTGCCTTGGAGGGAGCAGCTGCTGTGCCCACACTGCTGCTCCCAGGCTTCATCTTGGGTGCTGGCCAGTGCTGGCCGGTGTCTCTTCCCCTTTGCCCTGTGGTCTCACATCCACACCCCACCAACTTTAAAGTCTTTTATCAACAAGTGAAGACTAGCAGCTTGGTTTCCTCTCTGATCAGCAGATGGATTGAAAGCTCTAAAAGTATGAGTAGATGTGTAACTGCTGTGGGTCCTGTGCCAGGGACTGCACACAAGCTTGCAGCTACAGGACACAATCCTGCAGGCTGCTGAGCACTTCCAGGGCATCACAGCCAAGGAAGCTGAACTCATGGAACTTAAGGGCTTATCCTTAAAAGAGAGGATCTGAACACCACTGCATTTATTAATCAGCTCCCCCACACTCCCTGCAGCATGGTCCAAGACAAAAACACAGGGGAAAGTGTCTCTGTGACTTGCCCAGGCAAACTCACCCTCTTGACCAGGCCTGTGCCTGGAAGCAGCACCCAGGTGTCAAAAGGCAAAGAGCTCTGACCCTTCATCTCAGGCTTCATTGCTTTGAATAGCTCCTTTAGCTTTATTAGAGCAGCATCAGCTCTGCTCTTGGGGCAGGGCTGGCAGGGCTGCGTGCTGTTATTTATTTATCTCCCCCTTCACCTGCCCCAGAACAGCGTGCAGCGGAAAACCAGTGAAACAGTGGGCTCTTACTTGTTGATACAGCTCTCATAGTTAAAGGTCGCCTTGAAGCCGTAGATGGAGAAAGTGACGATGCTGGCAAATATGGAGGTGGTGCTGTTGATGAGGGACACGATGATGGCGTGTCTCTGGCAGTTGTTGGAGGGCTCGTTGTAGCTGGCAAAGGCGATGAGGCTGCCGAAGCCAAGGCCCAGCGAGAAGAAGATCTGCGTGGCAGCGCTGATCCAGGTCTTGGGGTTCGACAGCTGCTCCAGCTGCAAAGGCCAGACGAGAGAGCATGAAGTTCCTCTAAGTGCCCAGCACTGCCCCTTCCAGCCTGCAGGGATGGGACCCTTTGTGCATTCATTACAGGTCAGGGGTGTTTTTGGGCAGGGTTACTGCTCTGACTGAAAGCAGTAGGTTATGCTAATGAGAAGGTCTCTTTCTGCAGGAAAAAACAAGCAGCTTATGGGCACCATGGCATCTCCAGGCATTCCCAGCTGAGGTTTCCAGCTGCCAGACCTATGTTACTGCAGCAAAAACTCAGTATAAAAAAAAGGAAGACCAAGACCTTTTAAAAACTTATGTGCCCAGTAACCGATGATGTTTCCTGAAAAATTCAACACAGTTTTTCTGTACCTTTGGTGTGAACATGTAGATGAGCCCATTCACAGCTCCATGAAGTGTTAATCCTCTGATGAGGTATATGATGAGAACACAGTATGGCAAAGAGGCTGTCACATAGACGACCTGGGGAAAGAAGGCAAAGACCTTGGTTTAAAGAATATGTAAGACAAAGCTAATCTGCTATGTCAGTCTCACTTTACATAAATAATTTCCATTAACGTGTTTGTTATCCTGTATTAATCTTTAAAGAAATATTATCAGACAAATCTAATTTTAGATTTACATTTTAGGGAAACAAGTTTTTAATAATCCTGAAGACCTGCGCTACTATTCTAAGTGTCTTCTCTTAGAATGGAAAGCAAACAAAAATCTAAAATATTTGCAGCATTCACAAACTGGGTTCTACATCATTTGGTGGCATAACACCAGTTCACAACCATCCATCAAAAACTCATTAGGCAAAGGTGATCATCATATGATCATCACTATCATGTTTGCTCTACAAGGAAGACAAGCAGAGCTCATAAAAGGTCAAAATCAAACTTGAATTTAATCAAATTGTATCAAAATTTAATTGAATCAGTTGCAGCAAGTTTAAGAGGTTATTCCTAGTTTACAGTCTCTTGGCTTTCTGTATTTGGCTAAGACGATTTGGGGATTACAGCCCTCAGCTTGCTGCTTAGTGCAGGCTCAGCCAGGACATTGGGGTTTTTCTCCCCACTTCCTCATAACTTCTGCTGTGAATAAAAAGCAAGCAAAAAATGTCCAGTAGATGTCTTGTTTTTCTTGCAAAGACCAAGGAACAGACGTCTCCTGGCACGGCTCTGCTGGGACAGACGGCTTTCCTCACGGCCAGCAACCTGACAACTGCCCATGAGAGAGAGCTGGCCGTGTTTAAAGGGCTTCCCTGGATTATTTTTTTCAGTATCATTCAACGTTTTGATTGATCCTGCTTCACCTGCAACTCGACAGGGCAGCAGAGCTCGGTGCTGCGGGGGGGATACCGTGACCCCGAGGAACAGCAGCCATTCCTCAGCGTGGAATGGCTCGGCACGTCCCGGCCGGGCGCGGCGGGGCTGTGCCGCTCTCACCTTGCCGGTGGAGGCGGTGCCGCGGAGGATGCAGAGGTAAACCACGAGCCAGGCCAGCGTCAGGCACAGCGCCTGCTCCCACTGCACGCTGCCGCTGGCCTCCAGCGACGGGGAGATGTTCAGGGTCTGCCGGTACCAGAAGTACTGCGTGGACGATGTCTTCTCGCACTCCTCCTCGTAGCCCGTGCGGTTGCTGTTGATGGGGCAGGTGGCCCAGGGCAGGGGGTCCTGGGAGGAAGGGCCATGGAGTGAGTGCGGGCTGCCGGCACGCCAGGGAGAGCCGAGGTGCCACTGGGGAACTGGGAGGGTGATGGCAAGGGCGGCTTTCTGCCCGGGCTTGCTTCTCTCTGCATGGTGCTGCCGGGGCTGGGAATGACCCTCTCCCCTGGGGATGATCTCTTTTTACAATCTCCCTTGGCCCCAAGAACTGATGCTTTCTGATCCTCTCCCCTTGGGATGACCCTTTCTGAAACCCCTACCCAAGGACAGATCAGCTCTGTCCCTCTTCCTTGGGGATGACCAGACTGATTCTCTCTCCAAGGACTGAGCCTCTTTAACCCTCCCCCCTGGACATGACACTCTCCAAGCCTCTACTGTGGGACCAAACCCCTCCCCTGACATCAGAGAGGCCCATCCCAGGATGCAGGACACCCTGGCACGGAGCCACATGTGACCAAGGCGTCACAAGCCTGGCCTTGACCTGAATTGCGTGGTGAGGAGAAGACAAGAGCCAATGTCTCTGGGAGGACCACGGAGGAGGACATCACTGCCTGACTTTTCCCTCCAGCAAAGCCCTGGGTTTCTGAAGCTTTTGACACCGCTCCACCTCCCCATTCCCTGGTGACAATGGTGCCATGCAACATCCAGCACCAATGAAAAGCCACTGTGACCCTCTGCAGCCACAGCAGGGTCACGCTGGGCTGCTGGGAGCCCACAGACCTGGAAGGAGTGGAAGAGGTACCAGAAGGCCCAGGCATTTATCACATTGTAGTACATGGAGAGGAAGAAGGAGACGACAACACTGGCAACTCCTGTGGGTATAGAGGGAGACATTTGGTCAGGAGAAAACCCCAAAATGCCCAGGGCTCCACAACATCTGTGGGATACAGGAGCAGCACTGCCATGGCTGACACAGGAGAGGCTTTGTCCCTGCACAGCCATGTGCAAGGGCATGTCCCTGTCACTGTAGTCACTGCCTCCTCCTCCCACCAGGACTATCCTGACCTGGATTTGATACTCTAGGCCGTGAGGAATGAATGTTCAATGTATAATTTAAAAAAAAAAAAGTGTGCTTATGCAAATTAATGATAGCTTGGGTTTTCAGGGTAATTTAATAACATAAAAATGTAGCTAAGAGTGGACATTGGTAAGTGGTAGACTGGAACAGTAGGAATAAAGGCACCATTTTATCACTCGTGTTGAGCTTATTGGATAGGTGCTCTTGGGGCCAAAGCCCAGTGTAAGCAAACCCAAGGGCTAGTTTAGCACTGGCCTCCACAACATGATTTTGGCAGTCTGCCTGAGGGCAGGGGGACTCACACCTCTGAATCCAGGCCCAACACAGCAAGCTGGGGTCCGGCCCCAGTGCCCAACAAGGGACAGGATAAACGCATGCCATGAGGTGTCTGGCTTTGCTCAGCCTGGTGAGACCCAGTAAAACCTGAGCTCCCACCTGGGTCTTTTCCGAAAGACAAAGCTCTCCAATCTAAAATCACCTACATTCCCTGCAGCTGGAAAATGAAGATGGAAACTGAGACCATACCAACACCGCAGAGGTAGGGACTTATTATTTTCCAGGCGCCGATGCTGCCCTGCCGCATACGCTGCCCCACGGCCAGCTCCAAGTACAGCAGCGGCATCCCCTCGGCAATCAGCATGATGAGGTATGGGATCAAAAAGCCACCTGTGAGAACAAACCCAACAGTCAGCCTTCAGCAGATCGGCAGCAAGATAAACACCACTTTGCCCTATTTGTGTTCAAGTCTCAGGGGCTGGCTGGCTCTGGGTCCTGGTCCTGTCCGGGTACCTGGAGTACTGACGGCACGGCCCAGTCCTGAAGGACATCTCACAGAGGTTTCAGGCAGCATCCCAGAGGCTGGTGGGCGCTGACTGTCTGGGAATTTTCCGCAGGGACTTGGCAGGGCTAGGATTTCTGCTGTTAAACTGTGTTGGTTGGCACTGTTGTGTGGTAGCCCTGCCCAGATGCATCTGGGCGGTTTGAGCAATGCTGGGGGCTGGGGCTGTTAAAGGGTAACCAACCACCTGCCAAACCTTGTAACCAATAATGAGACAAAGAGGACGAGGGAAAGATCTACTTCAGTGTGGGGTGTTCTGCTGCACAGCCAAAGTGCTCAAAGAAAAGGTAACAGCAACATCTGTGTCGGAGAATTTTGAGTTACCTATTGAAGTCTGGCCTTGCTTAAAAATAGAAAACAACCAAAAAACCAAACGAAAAAGCTGACAAATTCCCATGCTGAGCCCACAAGCACCAGCAAATGAATGAAGGCTTTTCCCCCAGGGCCTTTCCTCCCAGCCTGGGAGCAGACCCTGGGACACAGGCATTGAGTCTCCTGCATGGGGCTGCTCTTCCCTGCTTCCCTGCACGTGGAGAGACACAGAGATGCTCCTGTGGAAGAAGAACAGCAGGAATGGGAAGGTTGACAGCAAGGAAAGGAAAAGGACCTTCCTGCCTGGCAACCAGGATGTGCTTTGGCTTAAATTTCTGCTGGAAAAAAATAAAATCCTTGTATTCGACCTAGGGCTCACTTCAGAAAGAGCTGCTGACTGAGTCAAAAGCTGGATTTTTGTGAAGGCTTCCCTGCTTCCCTTTTTACAGCAAGCCAAAATATTTACGTAAATATCTCTTATTTAGGATTTAATCTGTGGCATTAACATTCCTTGCAATGGGCTCTGTGCAGCGCTGTGGAGGAACGAACTCCATGCAGCGACTGAGGCAAAGACCTGGAAATAAACACAGAGCAATAATCCGGTTTATTCTGGGAATTAATTTCCCACCTCCCAGCTCTCTTGTTATTAACAACCCCTTTGTTATTCTGTTAGATAACTTCCTATGCCGCAAGGGAGCTGTCGGAGGTTTAAGAGCTCCCGCAGCCGCCCTGTGCCGGTGGGGTGCGAGCCGCCCCAGCAGCCCCTGAGGGAGTCCTGCCATGTACCGCAGGGGAATCAGCATTAGGCCCTTGCAAAGGTTTTCCACCCTCCCAGCAGCGCTGCCACATGTTTGGCATTGTCTGTGCCAACTGGCAAGGAGGAGAAATGCCTTCAGGCTTGTTCTTCACCCCAATGTCCCCCCGCAGCTGGGGGTGCCAGTGCTAAGCCCCTGCCCCTTGCTCTGCGTCCTGTTTGCACGCAGACCTTGCTCCCAGTGCTACTCTTCCCGAAGAGGAGAGCCGAAACGTCTCACTCAAGTGACTCCGGGCAGCCGATAGACCAGCTCCCGGTCCGCTGTGAATCAGCTCTACTCAACTCCCCGCTCTCTACACGGGGCTTTGCTCCCTCCGGTGCCAGCTGTCTGCAAAACCAGCCCCCAGGCCAGATCCCTGTCGCTGGCAAAACGTGCGGAGTGTGCCCTGGCTCTGCCCAAGGCACCGGGCTTGGCCAGGGGCACCCTCGCCCCTGCTCAGGCTTCTGCCTGGTGCTCAGGGGCTTCCTCGCCCGGGGCTGAGCGCTGCTGAGCACCAGCCCCGCTGCAGACCCGGCCCAGCCCCGTCTGAGCCTGGCCCAGACCGCTTAGGGACAGAGGAACTGCACCTACGAGGTTTGAATGCGCCCTGCTCTGCTCAGGTCGTGCTCTCAGCAGGAAAGCAAGGAGAAGGAGGAAAAGAAGGGAAACTGCTGATGAACAGAATGACAGGTTACAAAGTCTGCAAATACTCAGCATCATCCGCGATAAGGGCCCTATTGCCCTGCTGGGCAGGACAGGGACTGGCTCCGTGCTTTACTACAAGGAGGACGCCAAACAAGCTGACGCCCCTCTAAATTCATCCCAGTGCCTGACATATCCAGCTTTTGAGTTCCTGAAACGATGTTCTATATGCATGGGTTTTGTGAATCCCTGGAAAGCCACAAAATCCTCTTTAAGAGGGCAGTGGATAAAACAATTAAGAAAAGCAAAACCTCCTGTCAGGAGTTTTAATTTCACAGGAGAAAGAGCTGCCTTTCCACCACTTCATAAGTGGTGAAGAGAAAAATAATGGAAAATATAATGAAAAATAATGGAAAAACATTCTTATAAAACATGCTTTTTAGAAAATTCTTGGGTGTATCATAGAATAGTTTGAGTTGGAAAGCACCTTTTAAAGATCATCTAGTCCAAAGCCCTTGCAATGAGCAGGGAAGCTTATTTATGCTTCTATTCAGGTTAACCAAATGTTCCAGTTTTGGTTACATTTCAGAGAATTTTCACCACAATACTCGTTAAAAGAATGACACAAAGCCCCCAAAATGTCAGAGTTTTGGTGTCCTTCAGGATGTCTGCCATGATGGGCTGCTAGTGAACTGATCACGTGCAGTTTGACTGTGTACAGAAACACAGTTGAAGCTTTGTGTTAGAGTTCAGTGTCAGATATGAAGTCTTTACCTTTAAAGCATGCGGAGGGGAACACACACAAAATTATAGCACATCTATCATTTCTGCTATCTGAACTAAGAAAGCTTCAGCCACTGCAGCATCTATCTTCTACTGACACTTCACCCACAATATTATCTGGATTTTTCTGACCTGATCCCACAGCATAGCTCTGATGCAGTCTCAGCACTGAGATGGCTTTTCAAACAGCAGCATGAACCAACTGCTACCACCACAAGTGCATTCAGAAGTAAGCTACAAGCCAACAAAACAAGCATAAAAGCAAAAAGCTGTTTAACATCTCAGTGTTTCTTCCTGGAAGGAAGAAAAGGCAGAAGGAGACCAGAAGCAGATGAGGCAGATGCTCATCATGTCCCTTAATGCAAGATTGAGAGAGGTCCCCAGCTATGTCAACAGATGAAGTATGAAGCAGTAAAAATCTTGGTTTTCTTATTGAGAGTCTGTTTCTAAAGATTCTTCAAAACTGTGGTAGCTGTATACTAGAGGAGATTATTAATACTGGTCTTTCATTAATCTAATTAACTGACTTTTGATTTCTAAGGAAGAACAACTGTGGCTTGTATATGCCACAAATATAATCTTCCTTCAGTTTGGACCCAGGAGGAGGAAAAACTTTCAAAGAGGGTTTTGAGGTCTTTTTGTTTGGTTCATTTATTTTTGGAGGACAAATCAATTTATTCCTTATTTCCAAAGATTCCTGGGAGGCTTTAGCTATGTAACTTCTGTTGATTAAGGCATTTCAGCCAACATCAAGGCAGATTTGCAGGTAAGTTATCATCTCTTAAAGTAAAGCTTTGTATAAAAGACAAGGTATTAATGACAGTACTTGAAATAATACAGCTGATCTTTAAGTTAAATCAGTATAATCACCCCCTCAATATTTTCCAAGTCCCCGTAGGTGAATGTACAAGAATATTAACCAGTTTCTGACACCTTCAAAGTGATTCAGTGGGGCAAAAATATAATAAATGAATACTATGTGGATCTATGCCTCTCACTCTATCTCAGTATTTTTAGAAAACATGGACTTTCCCAATGTTTCATTGCACTTACAGGAAACAAATGCCACTATACTGGGGCAGCTGTCAGGTAAAAGCCTAATGCTAAAGAATACATAAAATAAAGCCACAATAAATCAGATTGCACAACAATAGAAAGCCAGACTTCCTCTCTGCCCTGGACCTTACTGGGTGGACAGAGCATAAACACGGACAACATACTTTTGCACTTAATGCTTGCCCCACTCCTCCTCGAGGGAAGCAAGAAAATGTAAACCACACTTACCTCCTCCGTACATCTGACATAAGTATGGAAACCTCCACACATTTCCCAGCCCCACAGCATAGGAAATGCAGGCGAAAACAAACTGCAGGGGATTGTCCCATAAGGGTCGGGATTTCTCCATTGCTTTCTTGCAGACAGAGGCTCCTGCAGAGCCTCCTGCCTTCACTCCCTCAGGTACTCTGCCAACCGTGCCTCACACTCCACGCCAGTCCGGCTCAGAGGGGAGGGAAAGGCGGAGGAGCTATGCTTGCCAATTCCTATCAAGCTTTTTAATTACTAATCTTATTAACAGGCACATACTGAAATAGGAATGCTGGTAAATAGATTATAGACACACACAGAACTATAAAATTGGTACTTTGGGTGAATAGCTGCTTGGGTTTTGACTGGCATTTCTGGGAAGGATGTGAGCTGAGGGATTTTTATTGACTCACATGCCAACTTGAAGCTGTGAGGAAATAACATTGGGGCTGCAGTTTGGTTTTGGAAATGGGACGCTCCTTCCCCACAGGGCTCCCTTCCTACCCAGTGGCATGAGGCACCAGCTTGAATTTGATTGCACAGAAGAGGGGTTCCTACACAATTAGACTGGGTTTAGAGACTGTCAGTGCTTTTAGGGTAAGAATAAACAGAATCCTCAGACATCCTATCACTGTGCCCGGGTGCTCACCTCAACCAACCCAGCACACTCCCCACTTCCAAAAGGGGCCTTGAAACAGTCCTATCAGCCCCACAGGTCCCCATCCTGGTGCACACTTGACAACACTCAAGTCTGACCCTCCTGGAATAATGCTTTCTCTCTACAAACTCTGCAGGTGTGTGACAGTGTGAAACAGCCAGTCTCTTTTCACTCACCTTCATGCTCAAACGCCACTGCTGCAGGTGAACTTTTCTGAGGGGTTGCCGTTTTAAAAATACTTTCAAGCAGCAGGGACCAAACACAAAGGCCAAAGTGGAAAAAGGTGTCTGTGGCCATTGTGGAGGCAGAAGGATCTAGGGGGCCTTTGGGTCATCTAAAGGCACACTGAGGTGCCATGTCTGAACATGAACCCTGTGTGTTTGGGCCCCTGCCAAGGTACACTTTGAGCTCAACCACTTTGGACAGGTCTCCCAGTGAATGAGGCTGCCAGCAGTGTCTGCAGCAATAAAAAGTAGCTGAGAAACTCCAGGGACTCAGCTTCCTTCCTCTGTTTAAATGGTTTTTTTCCAGGGCACCTTTCAGGATCATTTTACAAGTATGACTCAGCTCAGCTGCTGTCAGTCTCATTCCTCCAGCACCAGGAATTTGGTCCCAGCCAGTTCTAGGTGTGCTGCTCCAGCATCCCACTGGGCACTGGCTGAGCCAAAGCCTCCAGCTGTGGGTATGGGTGAGAACTCCAACCCTGGGGCCTCTGGACAGGAGCCTGAACTGCAGAGTGTGTCATGCAGTGCTGCTGAGGCCAGCAGCAGCACTCAGGTGGACCTGCTGACCAGCCACCTGTATTACCAAAGTCACAAAGTGGGACACCGCTTTTCTGTCTGCTAAAGCGGGTGATGGCAAGAGGTTTACACATCTCCCATAAGTGCATCCATTCTTTGGGGTGTGTTTTAGTGGTACTAGAGATTAAGTTCTTATTGGAAAACATCAGGGTTTGCCAAAGCTGCCTGTAGTATAGTTTTGATGGAGTTTGTGATTTTTTTTTTGCAGTATCCATGCAGTTCTTGTCTTGCCTGCAGAACTGCAATGTGCCAGCTAGCCCTGGCAATATGTCTCATAGCTATAACCCAGAATTCTGCTGGAAGAAATAATCCAAGGTAATTTTAAATCCATAAGGTGTTAAACTGAAAGACACACACAGAGAATGTGAGTTGTCTCACATCATGAAAACTTTCACAAATTATTAAAAAGTCAAATGCCTGTCCCTGGAGGTGGGATTTATTATAAATTATGCATGCAAATATATTACAGTATTAATAATTTGCTGACAGGACAGCCTTAAAAAATAGCACATCACTACCACTTGGGTTGCTTCTGTGTGAATAGATTACTCCTAGTGATGAGCATCATCAAGTTAAAGATTTCCTTGGCTCTGTACCTCCTTCCCATTACATTTCAAACTAGTTTACTAATGGACTGGAGGAGATTGTGCAGGCAGAGAGGTGTGACGTCCTCATCTCGGGTCAGGCCAGATCAGGAAGTTCAGATGGAATGATATGAATCCTTGCCTCTCTCACAAATTTCAGTCTCATCAGTAGCTCAGATCACAGACTACTGTGAGTTTTTTTTAAAGGTGGTCATGCACATAGGCACCCAGCAAAGTGCCTGTCATCAGCTGGCTCCTCGGGACACACACTTTAAATATATTTAAATGTATTTAAACAGACAACACGCAGGAATTCTTGCTGTGGGACTTTCTATACACACCTCAGATTATCAATATGCTATTTCTGATATTGTTCATGATTTTATCTCATTTGAACTGCTTTCATTTGGGTTAGGAAAGGGCTTGGGCTTTATCTTTAGGGACAAAGAAAAGCCTCTAATAGATATATGCAAGAAATTTTGATCATGTCACTGCTGATATTAAAGAACGATTAGAAAGAATTGTTTCTCCCAGTACCTAACAAACATGAGATGTGGGGCTTGGCAGAGTGGTTGAGAAGGGAAGGGGCTCATCTGCACAGCAGACCAGGACTGATGCGACTGCCCAGGAGAACTGCCCTATGTAAACCAAGTCAGAAGCTGACAAACAAAGCAAAGAATCCCATTTCTCACTGAAGCAAAACCTCAAGTACTTAGGTGAAGGTATCAAGTGTCTCTTGATGCCAGTACAGTGAAAAGCCAAATGCCTCTCCCAGCTACCTAAAATGCAGACAAAAAGGGAATCTGGGGTCCTAACAACAGGTTGGGGACCATAATTTCAGGCTGGGAGAGAAGCTCAATAGTTTGATTGGCAAAAGTCATAGAAACAAGGAAAGAAATTCTACTAGGTAGCCTGGACCTTTATTATGCTACCTCCAATATGTATCACTATACCACTCAGATTTAAAAATAAACCCTCTGGGCTTTCCTTGATGAGCCAGACATGCGGGAGGGGGACAAAGTGTCAGCAGCTCTGGTGTTTAGTATCTTCAATTCCTGGAGGAACTCACTTCCAAAGGCAAACACTGCTAGTGTGTATCTGCTAGTGTGTCAGATGACAATCAAAACAAAGGCATGGAGTGTCTGCAGCCTCTGCATGTATTTACTGATGCTGTCAAGGGAAGCAGATATGCAGACAAGGGAGTAGCAGCTTCCATATATGGGTTTTCTCTTGGGATTCACTGTTGTTGACAGTTGCTACCCTAAGATTTCCTTACCTTAGGAGAAAGAAAGAATCCATCTGGATTTTTGACAACTCACAGGCCATGACAACTGGTGGGCAATTGCTCTGTGTGTAATTGGAGGTTACAGTTACTTCTCTAAGCAGTTACTAGGATTACAGTTATTCCTTGCTGCTTAGTACCAAACTGTAGATGATGCCTTTAAGGTCTGTACCCTGAAGTTATTTCCAGCCTCTCAATCACCCTTAAAACTGTTTAACTTTACCTCAACCTCACAAGAAAAGCATGCCTGAAAACAGTCTCTATATTTTCCTTGCTTTTCCTTAGCATCACAGCTCTATCCATCTTCTGACTGTGTGATTTTTCACTCACTCCATAAAGTTTGGATTTGTAGAATTGCACCTAATTCACCCAGACTTTAAAACTGACCTGTGTCAAATGAGAGCCAGAAACTGGCATGTCACTAAAAGATAGCTGGATTACTCAGTCAGTTCTTCTGCTTGTCACCTTGTCACTTTCTCTGTCAAAGCTTGCCTGCACTCTGGGGAGATCTCCGGGCAGCTCTCTTATTCACCAGCAGCTGTCAGTCGTGAGCTGCCCTTCCACAGTCCTGCACACTCCAAGGCACTACATCAACAAATTCCTAAAAATAATTTAAAAATAATTAACAAACAAAACTTTCCGTTGAAACAGAATGACATGTTGAAACAGAATGACATGACCCACCTTTATTTGGAGAAAAGTTGACTCCAAAGAAGCTGCCTAATGTGTCAGGATATGTCAGAGAGGAGAACCTGCTAAGGAGGGCACATGTAGACCTCTTCAGGGAGAGTCTGTGAGCAGCCAGGGAAGGGCAGGAATCCTGGGACAACATTTTCCCCGGGATGTTGTCAAAATTAACAATCATAGGGTAACTCCCTAGGCACATTCTTTGCTCAAAGTCAGTTACAAAAATAACTATGGTAACAATTACAATAACAATTCTTACCCGCTCATATACAAACTTACCTTCAAATTACTTCACAATGTTTTAGAAGGCACATCCTTCTAGACCAGATCAAACCCTTTATGCTTGATCCATTCAGCCACCTGATACCCCAACATGATTCACATTTGCTTCCTGAGGCAGTAAAGATTTCACAGTAGTTTCACAGCACTTCACATCATACAGAAGTCAAGACCAGTCCTTGATAATGCCAGAAAAGGGAAATCAAACTAAGAAATCTTACAAATGTTTTGGCTGGACTGAAATCTAAGCTCCTGGCAGATGACTGGGTTTCCCAAAAGCAAGGTATGTGGGAAATGTCCAAATTTCAGCTGTTCAAGGTATCAGTCTCAGTATCAAACAAAAAGGTGCACTTGCAGGTTAAGTGTCAATGTAGGTATTAGTATTCACCTTAGGATATCTTTTAAAATGGCTATTAGGCACAAGAGAAAAACAGGTTAATGAGTACTTTATGAACAGTTAGAGATCATTGGTTAATATATGGTCTCATTAAGATGGCAAAATGCAGGACTGCTGTCTCATTTATTAACAACCACTGAAGTCACTGCTGGAGCATGGGGTTTGTTGGCTGTCAGAGTCAGTACTAGCAAAGCTGAGATGCCTAGATTTCATTCCCATATTCTTCAGTCTGCAAGGAAAAAACAAAACAAAACCAAAAACCAAAACCCAACCAGCCTGAAAGAGATCTGATTTCTGCAGACCAGCTAGTCATACAGGAATTTTCTTTTTAAACATTCCCTTCAGGCATACCTAGGAAATTAACAACTGAAATGGAAGAAATGGATGATGTCTATTTGAGCAGTACAAGGAAC